AAGTGGCCGATGATGGAGACTGCGGTCTACCGCAGGTTCCTTTCCCACCATGGGAAAGGTCTGCCGGTTTTCGTGGGCCTGCTGTAGAGTTGGGCGACGAGCTACATGAAGCACCGCCACCCCCAAGAGAAGTAGCGGTTGTCGCACCGCTTAACAAAGAGGTTCCGCAGGCGGTGGTCCCTGGCGCAGCGCGTGAAGACGAAGATTGAGCAGAAACTTGCTGCAGGTGAGAAATCCCGTGCACATTCGATGTTCGCTGATGTAAAATTGCAGCTACTGATTCACCATTCACTTTTGCGACGCAGATTGCAAGAAGAAGTGCGAGTCTTTCTGGGAATTCGTGAGGCAGATGCGCGTGCTCAACGCCTACCCCCTCAACTTGATTCTAAACGCGGATCAGACGCCTCTGTTCCTCGAGATGCCTGCTGAGCGCGCACCCTCGAGATGAAAGGCGTGCGCACCATGCACGTGCGCACCGCGGGGTACGAGAAGGAGCGCCTCACCGTCATGCTGGCGGTGACGGTGGGCGGCATAAAGCTCCCTCCCTATGTTGTCTTCAAGCGGAAGACTCTGCCGAAGATCCCCGTGATCCGAGGTGAGTTGTGCATGTGCGGCAACTTTGCTGCTCTTTGCTGAATAAGAAACCCGCTAATGTGTCTTGTGCTATCGTGCACGTGCTGTCATCCACGTCCAGGACAAGGGCTGGATGGACGAGAAACTTTTCCAAGACTGGACAACGCAAGTTCTTGTCCCCTTCCTTAAGCCGCTCCGCGAAGAGGGAGGGCAGCGCAAGGAGGCGCTCCTCGTCCTCGACTCCTACCGAGGGCACATCACTGAAGCGGTCGGCCAGACGATGAAGCTGTTCAAGCTCACTCGCGCGGTGATCAATGGCGGTTGCACCTCGCTGGTGCAACCGCTGGACGTTTTGATAAACCGCAGCATTAAAGCCGAGGTTCGCCACCGCTACTCCACGTGGTTCCAAGATGAGGGGATCGAGTCCTTTACCTGTGCAGGTGAGCACATGACTGCCACAGAGGAAAGAGATGGTAAAAGGGAACCGACTCGTCAAACGTGATGTCCTGAGAGGGCAGGACACGACGCGAGGTGGGGTGGTAAAACTGCCAACCAGGCGCGTCATGGGGAAAGCCAGATAACCTTCCCCGTCCAACGCAGTGTAGGCGAGGTCTCCGGCAAGGAGACACGGGGCCAGAGGTTGAGCTGATGCGCAGCGTACCGGACCGCAAACGGATACAGAAAATAGGGAGCAGCCGCATGGATCATGGAGGTATGAGCCACCTCTATGACTAAGCCAATGCGGCACTCAGCAACCCCATTTTGCTGCGGGGAGGCCGGAAGCGTGAACGACAGGAGGATGCCCTGCCCACAACAAAAGTCCCACAAGAGGTCGGAGGAGAACTCACCACCTCGGTCAGAGTGCAGACGTTGGACAAGAAGGTCCTCGCGGAACCGCTCACGGAGCTGGAGAAGGATTGCACAGATCTAAGGGATCAAGAAATCAAGGACCTCACTCTTGCTGCGCAAGGGGAAGACCGTGGTGTAACGCGTGTAGTCGTCAACAACCAGCAGGAAGTAGTGCTCCCGATCGTGTCCACCGACGCAGGCTGTGCCCCACACGTCCATGTGGAGAGTCTGCAGGGGAGCGGTCGTCGGGGGAAACGAGGAGGAGTGAGGAGCGGCGCGCTGCCGCCTCTCAACGCAAGGAAGGCAGGGCGGGGCAGGCGAGGGCGGGAGGGCAGGCAGAGACCTGGGAAGACCAGAAACAAGGAGGCGGGAGTGCATGCCACGAAGGCGTGGCAGGGAGGGGTGACTAAGGCGGTGGTGCCACAGAAGAGTCTGGTGCGATAGGAGGCGACACGAGCAGGGGGCTGCTACCGGACCTGACGCGGACACCTGACCAGACGCAGCTACCTGAGGAGGCTCAGTAGTCAGTGTGTACAGACTCGACCCAGGCCGACGGGTGAACGTGGCCAGGTGACGGCCCGTCCGTGTACACGTGCAGATCGACACACGCTGATCCCCAGGAGTGGTGGTAGTGACCATCGCGTCCTGGAGGGCAGCAGTACTCACCAAGTTCGTAGAGAACGAGGGGAGGTGAAGACCTGAGAGTGAGCCGGACGGAAACGCCGGATACGGGAGAACAGTGGAGGAACGTGCAAGAACTGGGTCCCTTGAGGGGTCAGCTAGTCTGACTGGAACAGATGCAGTGAGAGGAGTGAGTGTGGTACTGTCGCGAAAGAAACAGCGGGAAGCACTTGAGTCAAGCGTGAAGGTGTGCAAGGCCTTGGCAGGGAGAGCAGACTCACTAGCACCTAGAGCAGCAGCCTCAATACCTGGGTCGGGCGGCACATACAAGTAACAGTCACCCTCAGCACTAACAGTCAAGGCATACATGGCAGCAAGGATAGCATCATGGTCAAGAGCAAAGATATCAACACCAGACCTAAGCAGCTCTAGCCAGCGGATGCGCTCAGCCTCGTCGCCAAACTCTGCGCGCCAAGCGTCGTCAAGGCGGGAGAAGCAGCGGTGTTGTGTGTGAAACTTCCCGCATGTCTGACCAGCGCGATCACCTGTACGAATGACATACGGGCAGCGAACACTACCCCCAGACGCCCCACGCTGAGCAAACCACTCACGAAGCTGCTAGGGCGTAGGGGTCTCGCTCGGACGCTGTTGCTGCTGCCTCTGGCCACCGCCAGAACCTCCCCTCTGAATAGCTCCACCCCGACCGCCACCACTCCCACTGCCACCACCACCACTCCCATTGCCGCCACCACCGCCACCACCACTCCCACCACTGCCACCACCGCCGCCACCGACGCCCCCACACCCGCCACCACTCCCACCGCCACCTCCGCCACCTCCACCGCCTCCACCGCCTCCACCACCACCACCCCCGCTGCCACCTCCACCACTCTTGCCTCACTTGCCCTTGCCGCTGCGGCGCTTCCCACTAAGAGGAGAAGCAGCCCCGACATCCTCAGCACCAAGGATGTCAACAGCAGCAGCAGAAGCATAGGAGGGGGCAAGAGGGGAGGGGGAACACCCCTCAAAGAAGGGTGTGCGAGGAGTGCCACGAGCAGCACCTACAGCGACTACGCTAGTCTCAGCTGCAAGGAGGGGCTTCTCGAGCAGGTCGAAAGTGAGGTATGTGGGGTCAAGTGCGAGAAAGTGGTCCCTGACAGCGCGAAGAGAGTCCAGGGAGGTGGGTGACTATGAAGTAGAGGGTGATGTACATCGGGGGTGGGTTCTTGTCTAGGAACTCAGCTGGGAGGGCAGGGCGGTAGCGAGTGTCGCTAGTGCGAAGGTGGGTAATGAGGTCCTCGACTGTGGCAAAGGCTGATAGCTCGGGAAAAAGGTAGGGCAGTATAAGGCGGCCGAGAGCAGCAGTGGCAGGGGAAGAGTAACGAGCAACTACAGCGTCGTACAGGGCTTTAGCAGTCTTGTGCTGGCCAAAGTGAGCGCGTTCGGTGGTTGCAAACGGCTAAGCGGGCAGCAGCGTCACGGGTAAGCCACTGTGAGCTAGTCGCACTATCAGCTGTGTCGGGAGGGGCGAGAGAGGCTCCAGACGTGTGGTCAAACAACGAAACACTGTCTCTAGAATCGCTCAGTAGGTACAGCTGTAAGTCGTCGAGCCACTTATCGAACTGGATCGGACGGCCCTGATGATCGAAGGTGAAAACACTAAGAGAAGCTATGGCGGGCAGAGCAGGGTTGCGCGCGACCAGCAGGGCAGCACGCAGGCAGGGCGGCGCACGAGCACTAGGGAAGCGCGCAGGGCAGGGCGGTGCAGCGCACGGCTAGGGAAGAGCGGCGCGCAGCCAGGGCAGGGCAGGGCAAATGGCAGGGCAAGGCGGTGGCAAGCAGAGCGGCGCGCGGGCAGGGCAGGGCGGCGCGGCGGCCAGCAGAGCGGCGCGCGGGCAGGGCAGGGTGACGCGCAGGCAGGGCAGGGCGGCGCGGCTGCTAACAGTGCGGTGCGCGGGCAGGGCAGGGCGACACGCAGGCAGAGCAGGGCGGCGCGGCGGCAAGCTGGGCGACGCGCGGGCAGAGCAGGGCGACGCGGCGGCCTGCAGAGCGACGCGACAGGCAGGGGAGGGCGAGGCGCTACCAGCAGGGCGGCGCGACGGGCAGGGCAGGGCAGCGCGCGGCCAGCGGGGCAGCGCGACAGGCAGGGCAGGGCGGCGCGCGACTGGCAGGGCGGCGCGACGGGGAGGGCAGGGCAGCGCTCGGCCTGCAGGGCGGCGCGATGGGCAGGGCAGGGCAGCGTGCGGCCAGCAGGGCGGCGCGACGGGCAGGGCAGGGCAGCGCGACTAGTGGGGCAGCACTACGAGCGGGGAACTATGCGGTGAGCCCTAAAAAAAAACGGTCTTGGAACAGGACCTGCTCTGAAACCATGTAAAGAAACTGAACGAAAATGAATGCATTGAGCAAAAAGTTGGTACAAGTACTAACCCTAATTGGGTTGTACCCCTTATGGGCTACCCCACTGTAGCCTACACAATATAAGCATGAGAACATTTTGACAAAACATTGCACTGCACTGCACTGCACTGCATTGCATTCTACACAACACTAAATTCCAGATCTCATCACTCGTGATTTGGTTTTCCATAGTAGATAGTAACACTGACTGCTGCACACCCCAAAGGGTGTGCACAGTGCATTGTTCAGCGTGGAGATGAACAATACAACTCGCCCACAACTACCAAACACACGCACACGCTACCAGCCATATTCAAGGGTACTTACAACCTCCACACAATCCTCCGCCCACACCCCCCCCCCTCACACACCTCGGACACATCTCCCACCTACCTCCCTTCACTTCCCACACACCTTCCAAACACTCCCCCCCAACCACAGCCTACCCACAAATCGCAACCTCCAAGGCCAGTCCCTGGCATGCCCTGCGCACCACGCGAGCAACTCTACCACCCAACTCCGCTTTGTAGGTGCCAAAAAAAAAATAACAGACGTCCAACCTACCCACAGAGCGCCACCTCTAAGGCCAGTCCTGGTCGTGCCCTGCGCCCCACGCGGGTCACCCTACCAGCCAACTCCACCTCTCCACCCACTGCCAAGCATGCTGCCATGCTGCCCAACGCCTCCTCCCCTAGCTGCTGCACCCACGCCGGAACCCAGCGCAGCGCGAGAGTGACAAACGAGACTGTATACAGATGCCACTGCTGTTGCGAGTGTGTGTGTTGTATGCAGCCCAGCACTGGTAGCTTCCCGGGATATCCTGGCTGGGAGCGTGGGACAGCTAGTGTTGCCCAATGCGACGAGAAGAGCTCCTGGAGTTTCGTGCTTGCACTGGTTTGTGGGTGCAAAGAAGGGGAGTTGGCAGTGGTGGAAGGGAGTGTGTTGGAGCGGTTTGCAGTGCCAGCAGAAGGGTTGCCTGAGGCGAGGAGCAGGCATTTGAAAGCGAGAGAAGCGAGGGCAAAGCACTGTACTTCGGACACTATGCCCTCTAGAAAGGAAGGGGGAAAAGGGCTGCTGGGTGGTGCCGTAGCAGTGGCGCTGCCATCAGTAGCACCACCAGAAGCAGACGTAGCAGCGGTGGCAGCAGAACCAGGGCCTGTGGGCTTGGCAGCAGAAGGGATGGAGGAGGAACCGGGGAAAGCGGGAACACGGGCAATAGTGGGAGCTGTGGCAGCAGCACCAGCAGCGGTAGCTGCGGCGGCGGCGGCAGCGGCGGCATTGATAGCCAGAGCAGCAGCAGCTGGGGAGGACGTGGAGCAGGCATGTAACCAGGAGGGTATGCCTCGGCCAAGCAGATTCTCCAATCCCGCGCTGCCACCTGTGAGGTGGAGCAGCATGGCTGCTACAGTGGTCGAGGAGAAGAGAGCAGCAGCAGCGGATGGGGTGAACCAGAGAGGTGAGGAGGACAGGAGAGGTGGCAGGGAGGATGGTACTGGGGTGGATGCTACTCCTGCCAGCACACCACCACCCACTCCCATTGCCATTGCCGCCGCCGCCGCAGCAGCAGCGGCGGCAGCAGCAGATGCAGCCCCTCCTGCCGCTGCTCCCCCTGCACCTCCCGCGTCCACCCCTCCGTCCCCTTGCGCCCTCATTAGCCCACCTGCAATCCAGGCAGTAGACCCTCCCTCCCCCCGCCCCACCACCATAGCAGCAGCTTGAGTGGCGACAGCTGCAAGCACAGCATCACACAGCAGCCCCTCCCGCCCTACCAGCACAGCAGGGAGGCTCAGCCACACGCCTGCTGCAGTCAGCCCGCCTCCTGCTGCCACACCACCCGTGTCTGCACCAGAGGGGTTACCAGACGCACCACCACCTGCTACCCCTCCTCCTCCTCCTGCGACTCCTCCTCCTGCTGCTCCTGCAGCTGCTGCGGAGGGATCTGTCGGGTCCAGTCCTTGATCGGCCTTCCCACCTGCAGCCCCGGGTAGGGCTGCGTCGCGGACTTGTGGGATGGGAGGCAGGCCGAGCAGCGAGCAGGACCCGTCCAGGTCACCCACACTGCCGTTGCGATGCGCTGGCAGTGTGTGCACCACTGCTGCTGCTGCGCCTGCTGCTGTTGCTGCTGCTGCACGGGTCTCCCCACTGCCTCCTCCGCTGCCGCTGCTGCCAGACTCACCTCTCAGCCTAATTGCCCCAGCACCACCAGTACCACCAGCACTGCTACCAGCAGCAGCAGGGGAGGAGCAAGCAGCGGCATGTTGACGAGAGAACGGCCACGAGGCAGATGCGAGAGCAGCAGGGGAGAGCAGGAGCAGGAGGGGCAAGGGGGGTTCTGCAGCGCCGCGGTAGGAGAGGGCGTGCATGGCCTGGCCGGCAAGAGCAGAGAGCAAGCGAGGGTCGTGACAGATAAGCTCCGCTATTGCTGGCTCCAGCACTGCCCTGAGAGGGAGTCTAGCCGCCAAATACCCCACCCCGCTGCTGCTGCTGCTGCTGCTGTTGCTGCTGCCGGCGCTGCCGCTGCCGGTGTTGATCATGGTGGTGGTGGTGGTAGCGGTGGTGGTGGTGGTGTTTGTGATGGTTGTGACGGTTGAATTGGCTGTGGTTGTCGGAGTGGCACTAGGTGCGGTTGTTTGCGTGGGAGTGGCAGTGGCAGAAGGGCCAGCAGCAGGTGCGCCAAGTGCTGCTGCGAGCACTGAAGCTCCCATGGAGGGAGAGGCGCGGAAGGAGGAGCGCAGGAGCAGCAGCAGCAGCAGGTGGTAGAGGGGAGAGGGGCTCCCGGGGGGGGAGGCGGAGCGGGAGGCGGAAGAGGAAGAGAGGGCGGAAGAGGGAGTAGAGGACAACTGGGTGGGGGATAATGGAGCGGAGAAGGAGGAGGCAGCAGCAGAGGTGGAGGGAGGGGTGGAGGAACGGGAGGAGGAGCGGAGCTTGAGGTCAGAGACGAAGGAGAGGAAGAGTGCCATGGGTAGGGGGAGCGTGGGGCTTGCGGTTGGGTCTGATGGAGGGGGAAGGCGTACATAGAAAGGAAGGGGGCAGGGGATAGTAGTGACGACAAGGGGGAGTTTGTGAGACGGGTTCAAGAAAAAGGGGGAAGGGGGGGATTAACAAGACGGGAGTGGCAAAGGAAAGACAGGGCAAGGGAGTGGCAAAGGAAAGACAGGGCAAGGGAGTGGCAAAGGAAAGACAGGGCAAGGGAGTGGCAAAGGAAAGACAGGGCAAGGGAGTGTGAAGAAGGATGCCGTGCAGAAAGGGAGATGAAGTGCACGTGAGGTAACCCGATGCAAGTCCAGCATTACTCCCAAGCTCAGGCCCAGGTCCTTCCCAGAACCCAGCAGCATGTAGCAGGAGGCCGTTGACGCACCTGTGATGGGCGGCGTGTACAGACCCAGATCAAGCAGCCCGAGCCTCAAGTGGTTGAGAGCGGTGCGGAGGGAGGAGGCAGGGATGGCGGCTTGCGGCCAGTCGGGGTGGGCGGAGAGGGGGATGGTGATGTGTGCCGAGGTGAGGGAGGAGGAGAGACAGCACGCCACGGCTGCTGCTGCTGGGGGCGCCAGAGCCACTAGGTTGGATAGAGCTGAGGGGGAGAGAAAGAAGGAAATGAGAAGGGAGAGCGGGAGGCGGGGAGGGGGAAGAAGGGGGGAGGTGGACGAAGGGGAGATAGGGGGAGAGTGAGGGGGATAAGAAGGGAGAGAGGGGAGAGAAACGGGAGGAGATGGGGGGAAAGAGGGGGGGAGAGAGTGGATATGGGGAGAGAGAGCGTGAAGAGGAGGCTAGCTCGCCTTGTGTGTGACTGCACGAGTACCCTTTCACAGCATGTCTTTCCATCCATTCACCAGACTGGCAGGCTCACCACTGGTGGCAGTTTTGGGGGCGAGTTTCCCCGCAACCACAGCCTGCAGAATTGCCTCCACTGCAGCCGGTGCAGCCCGCACCACCACCCACCCTGTCAGCCCTCCCATCGCACCCCCCTTCCCGGCCCCACCAGCAGCTGCAGCCCCACCAGCAGCACCACCACCGCCTCCTCCTGCTGCTGCTCCTGCTGCTGCTCCCTCTCCTGCGGCACCCCCCTGGGTTGTGTGTGCTATGCCCATGGCCCCCGGCACCACCCGTCGCAGCACCTCCCACAAGTCATGAGCACTGCATGCATTGTCCGGCACTTGGGAAGACCGCGCGGGTGCTGGTTGTTGTGTAGTGTCGTGTGGTGTGAGAGTGGTGGCGGTATTGGGGGTAGAGATGGGGGTGGGAGAGGTGGTGATGGTGGTGGTGGTGGTTGGGAATGTGTTAGGGTGAGCTGGGTTGTCCAGGGTGAGGAGAGAAAGGGCGTGCGGGAGAGAGGCAGGATTTACTAGAGGTATAATAGGTGCTGCTGCTGGTGCTGCAGACGCTTCTGCTGCCGCTGCACCATTGCTCAACAACCCTACGCCACCACCATCGCCACCACCACCATGACCAGCAGCAGCAGCAGCAGCAGCAGCAGCAGCAGCAGCAGCAGCAGCAGCAGCAGCAGCAGCAGCAGCAGCAGCAGCAGCAGCAGGAGCAGCAGGAGCAGGAGCAGCAGCAGCAGCAGCAGCAGCAGCAGGAGCAGGAGCAGCAGCATCATTAACGGAAGCTGCCTCCCTGTTAGCCATACACAGCAGCAGCTCGAGAGACACATGGCATGCACCCAAGAACGGTTGATTCAAAGCACCCCCCCCATACACTCTGGATCCGCAAGCGGATGCATATAATGAGGAGAGAGCCGAGGGATGGGAGGAGGGATGGGTTGAAGGCGGAGAGAAGGAGGAGGAACGGGAGTGTGGCACTCTTGAAAGTGGTTCGAGGGACTCCTGCACCAGCAAGAGCAGCACAGCTGCCCGGGAAAATATGTTGTGGCTGCCTGGCAGAAGGGCAGTGGGTGTGTGTGCAGGTGCTGCTGCTGCTGCTGCTGCTGCTGCTGCTCCTCCTCCAGCTGCTGGTGCTGTTGGGTCGCGGTCCGCAGATTGGATGGGCAGGCGGCCGAAGGCCTCTGTGAGAGGCAGTAGCGCCGCTGCCACCCGGGGGAGCTGGTGGCGTGGGGGAGGGGAGGGAGAAGGGGTGAGAGGCCAATTGGGGAATGGAAGGCGGGTGAGGGGATGGGAGGGAAGCGCGGGAGTTGCGGGGGTGTGAGGGTGAAGGGATGGGGAACTGGCATTTATAATATCATGTGTTTGTTTATGGATGTTACACTAGTGGTACGGGGTAGGAGGGGAGGGTGGGAGGAAGGTGGGGTGGGGACAGGAGGGGAGGGGGAGGATAGGAAAGAAGAAGCGGGAAGTGGCAGGGGCCAAGAGGAGCAGAAATGGCAGGGAAACCGAGAAGGCAGGCATGGCATGGGATGGCATGGCAGGGAAACCCACCTGGCCGTGCAGTCGGAGCACATGAGTAGCGGATCGCCCCAACAGCCCTGCCAGCAGTCGATCCAGAGACGACATGGCTATGCCTGACGCTGCTGCTACCACTGCTGCCGCCGCCGGCGCCGCTGCTGCTGCTTCTCCTCCCCCTGCTGCAGCCCCCCCTGCCCCTCCTGCTGCTGCTCCTTCCCCCCCTGCTCCTGCTGAGGCGGCTGATGCTGCGGAAGGCGCGTGGGCAGCAGGGGGAGGCGGGGAGGAGAGGCGAGGGGAGTCGGAGAAGAATGGAGGCAGGGCGGCAGGTGTAGTAGAGGGGTAGACCCGCGTCGCAGCTACGATGGCTGAGCGTGAGAGAGAGGAGAGGAGGTGCGTCACTAGGGATGCTGCTAGCTCCTGTGAGGGGAGGAAGGGAGGAGGGGAGGTGGGGGGAAAATGAGTGGGGAGACAAAAAGAGGGGAAGTAGGAGAAGGCTTCAGTGGAAAGAGAATCCTTGACCCCAACTCAGCCTTCTGCTCTTCCTCAGCCCGCTATTCCCCCGCTGAGCCCCGTTTCCCCCCATCAGCGCCCTCACCTCACCCTTTCTCCTTCCCTCACTGCTCATCCCCCTCCTCCCCCCCTTATCTCTGCCTCAGCCCCATGAACCCCCATCAGCCCCTCACCCCTCCTCCCGCCTTACCCCTCTTCCCTGCCCCCTACTTCATCCCTCATCCGCTCATCCACCACTAATACCCCTCACTGCTAATCCCCCTCCTCCCCCCCATGTAGCGCACCTGGAGGTGCCAGCTGAGGCGTAGAGTGGCACCGCAGAGCACAGACGCTGCAGCGGGCGCCCAGGGGGACTCCGAATCTGCAAGGTGAAACGCCAGCAGCAGCTCCTCCTGACTGCCGGGGGTGGTGGGGGAGAGAGGGGAGAGAGGAGAGGAGAAGGGAGAACAGGAGGAAAAGGGGCAAAAAGGAGGGGAAGGGAGGGGAACGTTGGGGAGAATGTTTTTCCAGGACTGTCACTTGTGACTCTTTCTTCCTTGGCCTACCATGCGTGAGGCGCCTTAAACTCGCCTCTTTCTTGCTTGGCCCGGAGTAGCATTCACCACTGAGATGCTCTCTTTCATTTGCCGAGTGCAAACAAAAGAGGTACGATTCCCCAAGTCGTACCTCTTTCTACCTTGGCCTACCATTTGCCTTTCATTTACCACCACTGCAATCACACCAAATGAACAAGAGTTCGGCAAACGTACGTAAAAAAAAGAAACTTGCAGCTGGGAGAAATCTCATAGGTGCTCCAAACACGAAGCGCCTCAAAACGGCATACCTAGTGGCTGGGTGTGCGGAGAGCGAGGCAAAGAGCGGGAGCGAGAGGGGGCCATTGGCAGTGAAGTGGGACCACGCAGCCGATCCCCCCATGGGGGACTGGGCTGCAGAGGCCGAGGAGGTGGCAAGGGGGTTAGAGGCACCAGTGCCAGCAGCAGCAGCAGAGGCGGATGGCGAGGTGGAGGGTTGGGAGCAGAGGCGGAGGAGGGGGAGGCCTGAGGAGAGGAGCGGCAGGAGGGTGAAGGCAGTGGCGGGGGGGATGAGGCCCCGGCGGTAGCATGCCTCCACTGTGAAATGCCACATGGTGAGCTCTGCAAAGGGGAGAGGAGAAGTGGGGTAGCGAGGGAGACAGAGAAGGTGGAAAGGAATGGAAGTGAGAGAAGTGGGAGAGGGAGAGAGCATAAACGTTGCAGGAGCACGCCTCTATCTGCATGTGCATGCACACGCGCATGTGCGTGGGAGTGGCATGCATGCACGCAGCAACGGACCTTCAGCAGAGGCGCCGAGAGCAGAGGCAGTGGCATGGGGGACAGCAAGGGGCGAGCCAGCAAGGAAGACCGGCAGGTGCAGGTGGCGGAACACACGCACTGACCCCAGCGCCCCCACCAGCCCCTCCTGCACCGCTGCCTGTGCCTTCTCCACCGCTGCCGCTGCCGCCGCCGCCGCCGCTGCTGCCGCTGCTGATGATGATGATGTAAGGGTGGCGGCGGTGCTGATGGCATGGGGATCGCTGCATGCAGCCGCGGTGGCAAAAGGCAATCCCTCCTCCTGGTCCTCATCCTCTTCCCCTTCATCCCCTACTTCCCTCCCCTCCAGTTCCATCCCCTCGTAATCCAAAGTCATCACATCCTCTTCCCCTTCCTCCTCCTCCTCCTCCTCCTCCTCCTCCTCCTCCTCCTCCTCCTCCTCCTCCTCCTCCTCCTCCTCCTCCTCCTCCTCCTCCTCCTCCTCCTCCTCCTCCTCATCACCCTTTTCATCCTTCCTTCCTCCCCTCCCATCCATCCCTTCCCCTTCCACCGTCCCCTCCATCCCCTGTCCCGGCCGTTTCCTCTTCCCGTGCATCAACCCCCCCCCTCCCGCACCTCTTTTCCGGCCACCCACTCCCCCAGACTGCCCCACAGCTCTACCATCCCTTCCCCTTCCTCTCTTCCGCCTGGCTGCACCCATGCCACCTCCGCCTCCTCCTCCTTCCCCCATGCGCACCTTCTTCTCGCACAGCTGCAGCAAGCTGGCGACGGCCATAGGACCCAGGCACAGGCAGAGGGACAAGCGCCCATCCTCGTCTGATAAGTCGTAGGGCGTGGGCAGGGAGGGCGGAGCAGGAGAAAGGGCAGAGGTCGTCGCAGCAGCAGCAGAAGAAGGGTCTTGGGATGTGAGGGAGGGAGCAGATGGAGAGGAGGAGGATGAAGGGCCGGCAGGGATGGAGCTTGCCTGGGGGAATGGGGAGGGAGGGAGGGCGGGAGAGAAGAGAGAAGAAGGGGGGATGAGAGCGATGTGAGAGACAAAAGAGGATGCGCGTCGGATGACAGTTGGAGGAGAGAGAGAGGTAAACAGAGAGCAACTAGCCAGAGAGAGGCAGCGGCAAAGGAGAAGAGAGTAGGGAGAAGACGGCGAGAGTGGGGCAAGGCGTTACATAAGGCAATGCAAAAGCGAGGGCACACACGGAACAGGCGTGTGATGTGACGGGGGGAGGGCATGTGGCACACAGGCGGGCGGGCGGGCACGGGCAGGCACGCAGGAAGGCAGGAAGGGGTGTTGTTACGGACAGAGGAGGGGGAGCGAGCGACGAGGCGGAAGAGGGAGAGGAAGAGGTGCAGCAGGCACTCGTGCCATGACGCCCCGTGCACCTGCTTCTCTGTCAGCAGCGCCTCTGATGCACGTGGGGGGAAGGGGGAAGAGGGCAGGGAGGGGGAAAGTGGGAGAGAGGGGAGTGATGGGATGGGGGGGAATGACTGGAAAACAGGGGATGGAAGCAAGAGCGGACAGCAGGAGGGGTGGAGAGGAACGGAGGAGAATATGAGAAAACATCACTCTATTTTCTCCTCTCTCACTACTTGACAGACATCTTTCCTTCTCGCATCCCTCCCATATCCCTCGTACATCCCTTCAGCGCTCCTGCCCTCTCCACCGCACCCACTTATCACATCCTCTGCCCCGCACTCCATCCTACTCCCTACCACTCCCATTCCCAACCCACCCCCCTCCCTTCTCTCCACCACCCACCAGCGATACTCTCGGGCAGAGCCCTAGAGCCGTCATCACTCCAGCAGCACCCCACCAGCAGAGGAGGCGCCAGCACACCCGCACCACTGCCCTCACCACCGCTGCTGCTTGCAGGGCTGCGGGCGGCTATGGTGGTGGGCGCGGAAGGGACTCGCTTGCTGGTGACGAAGGCCTCTAGAAGCAGGTCCAGGGCCAGCCAGGGCGATGGGGAAGGCAGAGCCGCACAGGGAGACGCTGGTACTGCCCGTGATGGCTGCTGCCGCTGTTGCCGTGCACGTGCTGCTGCTGCTGCTGGTGCTGCTGGCAGTCGTTTAGGTGGTGGTGATGTTGTGCTCATGGATTGCAAGAGGAGTGGCAGGAGGGAGGTAGAGGAGGACTGGAGAGTGGAGCTGGGACGGGTACTTATAGAACCTTTCGCTCCACCCCTTGCTGACACAGCTGCCGCCGCCGCTGCTGCTGCTGCTCTTGTTGCTGCGGCTGTTGTTATCGTTGCGGGTGATGCTGTTGCTGCGCTGACAACAGCTGAGCCTGCACCAGAAGCGCCCTCCCGTAAACCCCCTCCAAGGAGGCCCTGCCCCACACCAGCAGCAGTGCCACTCCCTGCTGCCTTGCTGCCCTCCATTCCACCACCTCTCCCCTCCCACGCTCCCTTTCCCAGTCCTCTCCCCCGCCGCACCAACGTTTGAACTTTGCATGCTCGTGCCAGCAGCAGCGAAGCAGAGGCGGATTTGGATTCGGACGCAGGGAAGAGGTGCAGTGTGAAGGGTGGAAGGGCGAGGTTGAGAGGGAGGGAATGGGCAGGAGTGGCAGGTGGCGGGGAGAGGAGGGAGTGGTGGGGAATGGCAGGGGAAGAGGAGATAGAGGAAGCTAGACGGTTGGTGAGGGAGGTGAGGGAGAGGAAGCGGTTGAACATGAGAGGCCTGCAGCGGATGGGATGGGATGGGGAAGAGGAACAACGGGTGGAATTTTTTAGACGTCTCAAGAAAGGAAGCGGTTGGGATGGGATGAGATCTACCTGTGGGGAAGTGGAACGACAGGGGGAATGGGAGAGGCGAGAGGGGGAGCGGGAGATGGGGACGGGGCCGCGGGTGGCATTTGCGGGTCATGAGCTGAGTATTTTAATATGGTAGGGCGGCTTGTGAATGAACCTTTGATGATTGAAACATGCGGAGGGGGAGGAGGAGCTGTGCTAGCATGGCTGTGCTGCACGGTCTATTGCTGCACGGTCTATTGCTGCACGGTCTATTGTTGTTCCTGGAGAAGGTGGGTTTCGAGTCCTGGGTGTAAGTTTTCTGGTTCAGCGTGGAAAAGTAGGTAGGCAGGGACTAGTGCTGTTGTGGAAGCGTCTGTACATGTGTCACGGTATGTCTCTCTGAAGGAGACAGGGGCCTGAATCCCCCAACCTGCTTTTGCTTTGCAGACGAGATACAGGTACCGATACCCGCCCGCACCGCAACACGAACATAGCACGAGCAGGGATGCAGTGGGAGAGTGAGGAGGGGAGGGGAGGGGAGGGAAGGGGAGGGGAGAAGAGGGGAGGGGAGCAGGAAGGAAGAGTGGGTGCAAGGGGAGAGGCGTACATGTGAGAGGGCGCAACTTGCAGCAGGCAGACGCTCCACTGAGTCTCTTGGAGCAAGGCCGCCAGCACATGCAGTGACAGCAGCACGTTCTCTCTCACGGCTCCCCACTGCGCCTCCCCCCACCTGCTCACATCCACCACTGCATTCTCCTCCCTCACTCTGCCACCACCAGCAGCACCAACACCAATGCCAGCAGCAGTAGCAGCCGCAGCAGCACCAGGCGGATTGATGGTGGTGGCGCCAGGCGCAGTAGAAACATGTCCGCCAGCTGCAGTTGCAGCAGCAGCAGCAGCAGCAGCAGCAGCAGCAGCAGCAGCATCTGCAGGAGCATCTGCAGGAGCGCAAGCAGCATCACCTACACCATCAACCACCATAGCTGTCAAACCATCCCCTCCACCATCACTAATGCCATCACCACCAGCACCAGTCCCGTGTAGTGCCAATCCCTGACCAGCCACACCTGCTCCCTCACACCGCAACCCTTCCAATCCCTCCACCCTCTCACCGCCACCACCATCACCCTCTCCTGCTCCCGCCTTCCCTGCCTGCTCCCCCCCAGCTATGCTGCGCAGCTTGCGGCCAGACAGGTCATCTAGCACAGCCCGTAGCAGCGAGCTCGCGAGCCAGAGTGCAAAGCGCGCCACCAGATCGGATAAGCTGCCCCTGATGCTGCCACTACCCCTGCCCCTGCTGCTGCTGTGGCGCTTGGTGAGTGAGTGCGGAGGAGGAGGAGCGAGGGCGGAGGAGAGGTAGGAGTGGAAGCTGGGTGTGTATTAGGGGGGAGTGGTGGGGGGAGGAGAAGAGTGGGAGTGAGTATGTGTTGACAAGCTAGTGGAGTGGAGTGAGGTGGGGCATGAGCGATGAGAAGGAGTTGAGAAGGAAATGACATTAGGTTGAGTTGGAGGAGTGCGCGGATAGAGAGGAGGAACGAGACGAAATGCAATGGGGATGGGGTTATCAGAGAGAGGATTAAGAGGAGGGGGAGGAGGAGGAGGAGGAGGAGGAGGAGGAGGAGGAGGAGGAGGAGGAGGAGGAGGAGGAGGAGGAGGAGGAGGAGGAGGAGGAGGAGAAGGAGAATCAGGAGGGGAGGAGCAGGCTTACAGGGGCAAGGGCGGCCATTGAGAGGGGGCCCAGAGGAGAGGAGGGGAGTCGGAGAGGAGCGAGAGGAAGCGGTGGAAGGATGACGGGCGCCGCCAGCGATGCTGAATGGTACTGTGCGGTGGGGAGAAGGAGAAGCACAGATGGCACCCACACACACAGGCGGTCACACCCACTCACGCATGCGCGCGCACACACACACACACACACACACACACACACACAGACACACACGCACACACACACACACACAAACACACACACACACACGCACACGCACAAAACGCGTGCAGTCATGAGAGCCGAGTACACGACATTAGCGCATGACAAACCGCGTGGCCAAAGCAAAGGAAATCGCTACGAGGAGCAGAGAACGGCCCAGAGAGGAACGAACGAACGGCCCAGGAGCAGCAACCAACACTTGTGGAAGGGCACATGTCAGCCAGCCACGTGAAATGGCACACGTGTGAGGGTGGGCAGTGGGCAGTGGTCACTTCACTGGTGTACCTGCGAGCGAGGAGTGCGACGATGTGCAGCGGCACCACCAGGTGGCACGCCATGCCATGCTCCACGTACTGCCATACCCGCGCCTCCTCCTCCTCCATCCGCGTCCTTTCCCTCTCCCTCTCCTCCTCCTCTTCTCCCTCGTCGTTCCGCTTTTCTCCCTGTTTACCATCTCTCCACCTCTCCTCCGCTCCCCATCTCCTCCGCTGCACGGCTTGCCCTTCCTCCCCGCCATTTGCGCTTATCCGCTCTCTTTCCGTAACACTTCCGCCGACTCCGCCCGTTCCGCCGCCGTCCGCTCCCCGCGTTCCCCCCGCCGGGCCCGCGGAAGCTCGCGGGGCAGCGTTGCGCGCAGCGCTGTCTGCGCAGAGGCTCAGCGCTTCCACCAGTGCTTCCGCTAGGTCGAGCGACGGCAGCGGGTGGCCGCGCGCTTTGAGGGCTTGCGACACGTCAGCACCCCATGTAAGCGACGAGGCGCGAGACGCGGCGGCGCGTCTGGAGACGACCAGCAGAACGCGCGCGATAGAGGACGGCTGGCTCGGACCGCCCATGACGCTGATGAATCCCGCGTATGGACTCCCAATGGCGGGACGGAAAGCGACGCGCAACGAAATCAATAAATCGCTCAGTGGTGTCGAGGGAAAAATAGGAAGGAATCCAGCGCAATGCAATGTGATGGGATGGGATGGGAGGTCGGTGTGGTGTGGAGCATTGCCTGAAAGCTCGGGAAGTTGGAGGGAAAAAATGATGTGGTCCGAGACCTTGTATCGCGGATTTGTATCGTGAATTGTTCCGCAGTCTTTCTGAAACCACTCCAGGAACAACCTGATAAATCTAGAAATTTTAGTCATAGATACAACTGATGTGGAAGACATTTACAAGCATTACTACTTAGTCATCAAATTGACGAATCGTTGTTATGCATCTACAAACCACACCTTTCCACCGTAAAAAAATAAAACATCCAATGCATCTTCCTCGTCATTACTCTGCCTTGCTTTGCTTGCCCGCAAACCACGGTACCCACACTGACGTCCGGGCACAATACGCTTCAAACAACGCCCGCCGCTCCGCCTTGCCCCTCATCCTCTGCTCCACCAGCACCGTCACCGCAACCATGCAAAGCGAATTCACCACCGTCCCCACCACCGTCCACCCCCTCCCCGCATTCCACCCAAACAGCGCCAGCGCCCACCAGAAGAGCTGCTCGCCGAAATAATTCGGGTGCCGGGAGTAACGCCAGATGCCCGAGTCAAGCAGCAGAACCGGGGGCTTGCCTGCGGCTCTCAGGCAGTCGTTGTTGGTCATGAATGCGTGTAGTTGAGTGTCGGCTACTGTTGCAGTGAGGATGCCTGTGAGGGCGAGAGCGGCTGCGAGGAGGTCGAGAGGGGAGAAGGGAGTGGAGGAGGCGTGTACTGCGTAGAGAGGCAGGGTGAGACCCACCAGGAGGACCTGTGGTGGTGGGACAGCGGGAGGAAAAGGTACAGTGGAGAATGGGAAGGAGGACAGTGGAAAGGGGGGGATCAGTGGGAGAAGGGGTGGAGAGCTGAACCAACTGAGGGAGTGTGGCATGATAGACGGATGGGGTAGCAAGCAAAGGTACCACCTAACTCAGCCTCCATTTTTACAGCTAGAGCGAAAACAGAAGACAGCTACTCACGCGTTGAACGACATAGACGAGCACGAAGGAGAGCCACCACCAGTGGCGCCCGTAACTGCTTGCGCATGAGTTTTGAGACGTCTCAAAAGAGCGAAAACAGAACCCAGCTACTCACGTGTTGAAAGACGTAGACGAGCAGGAGGGAGAGCCACCACCAGTGGCGGCCGTACTGCCTGCGCATGTCGCTAAACCGCCAGTCCTCCCGCCACCCCCACCGCCACCGCTCGCGCCGCAGGTACGAGTGCGTGAGGCGCGTGCTCCACAGCAGCAGCAGCGCGCGCACGAGCAGCGCGCGCGCACGGCAGGCGGAGGCGGCGGGATGCGCGGCGTAGAACTCGAGGATGAGCGGCGGGATGAAGGTCCAGTACGGGTCGATCAACTGCGGGGAGGAAAGAAGGGCGGAGGGAGGAAGGGAGGAGGGAAGAGGAGGAGCGGGGTAGGGAAGAGGATGTTGGACGGGAGACGGGAAGTGAGGAATGTATGGGGCTGAAAAGTGTTCACTCGGGATAGGAGGAAGAGGTGACGTAGATCGGAGCCTTTCGAGGAGTGCGGAAATGGGAGACTGATTGGACAAGCGTACGTGACACGCGGCGAGCACGCACCCACGTGGAGCCTTGCAACAGGCTGATGATCCAGAACAGAAGGTCCACATTCACCGCGAACAGCGCGCACACGCACCCGATTGGCCGACGGACTCCCCACGCCACCACTTGCCACCACCACTCGGGGCTCCTCCCGCCGGTCGCATCAGCGGCGGCGGCGGCGGCGACGGCGGTGAAGTCGATGTCGGAAGGTGAGGCGGAGGAGGAGAATGCGGCGGGTGGGAGGTATTTTGCATCGGCGATAAATCTGTGCGATATGAGGAGCGACGGGAGAACGACTGCCAATGCGAGGACGAAATTGGCGGCGCTCTTGTGCAGTGGGTAATGCGCGTCGGGAGAACGCGCCATGGTCATGCGCGGAAGCGAATGTGTGGATGAGGTGGCGTGTATCCGTGAATTTGATTCCGCTCAAATGTGCCTGATGTTCAGGCCAAGAAAATGTGGCTATGTATGTATGTATCCAATTTCACGTGGTAGGTTTGAACTCAGACGTTGCGTATTTTCTGACCCAGCAATTGCAGCTTACAAAGTATATCGAGGACCTTATTTGGGGAGCATTGAAGCTCCTCATTCAAAACTCGACACGTCATACACCGTTTCGTCACCTGTATCGTTCTTGAGCGCCACGTCAGTTCGCGTTTTACAGTACCTCACCCACACGCATGCATCCATTTCCTCGCACTACACATCAGGGGCTAGCTCCCCCCATGCGCGGCTGTCTGTGAGTGTTTCTCGATTATACCGACACTAATGTACGGCAGATTCCAGGTCCTCACTGCACGACGTGCTGCGCTGCCGCTTATCCAGCAGTTTTAACATCCACCGCCCGTTAATCATGGTCGCGATTTCACTTGCCTCTTCTTCTCTAACTCTAACTCGGTCCGCCTCCCTCATCGATCGCTCCACTCCTGCTCACTCGCTCGCGTCGTCACAGCAAGGGTCGAGGGGCATCGCAGTGAGCGTCGCCGTGCGTCGCATGGGGCAATCGGGAAGTCGTGCGCGCGTCGCTGTCGCCGCATCCCGCGGTGAAGAAGGTACGAGTAGCTGCACTATTAAGCGTCCGTTCCCGATTATTCAATAACGGAAACGGAAACGGTAAGCTGAAACGGAAACAGAACGGAAATAGTAACCACGCAAACGGGTACGTGTAGACCAACCAGCTTTTGTTCCCACTTCGAATTATTCACTCTGTATCCTCGTCGCGCCATAGCCCGCAAAACTCTCTCATGCTGTCCCCACTCACTCTTCCGACTCCTCTCTGGCATGGTGTGTCCCCCGTGGCGGCGCAGTGAAGGCGGTGCAGGTGGATAAGGCGGAGCTGCGGAAGCGGCTGTCGCAGCAGGAGTACCACGTGACGCAGGAGAAGGGCACGGAGCGCGCCTTCACCGGGTGAGCCAGCACCGCGCACCCCTGTGCCTGCGGCTTCATGTCTCAGGAGGATGGTTCGCATGTATGGTGTGGCTTGCGTCTTTCACAACCGTGCTCTTTGTCCTTACTGCTTTGTAAAGGAACCTCTTTCTACAACTTGCCCCCTCCCTCCTACTGCTGCTCCTTCCCGATTGCGTTATCTTTGCGCCTCGCTTCTGATTGCGTGCCTGCTCGCACTATCTCGCCGCCCTTCTGATTGCGTGTGGTGAGCAGCAAGTACTGGGATGACAAGCGCAAGGGCACGTACCACTGCATCTGCTGCGACACCCCGCTCTTCAGGTGCCCTCGCCTCGCTCTCTCCTGTGCCAACCTTGTTAACCACCCCTATTGTCTCCCTCCCCTCTTCCTCCTACACCCCCCCCTCCCTCCCCCCCCTCCCTTCCCCCGCCCGTTGTTATCGCATGTATCCACGAGTGTGTATGAAATTTGCTGCTGCACCTTATCTTATCCCCTGCTCTTCCACTCCCTCGTCAATCCTCCTTTGCTCTTTGTCTGATTTCCTAAATTCTGTCTTATTCCACTGTGTTTACTTCCTGAATCTGACTGCCTTGTTTCAGTTCAAGCACCGATTTTGACTTTCACAATTCCCTCATTTCCTCTTCCTCTGGTGCCCTGTCTCATCTGATTCACTGAGGCTCATAATCATTTCATTTCCTGACTCCTGTCCCCCCGGCCAGTTCAAGCACCAAGTTTGACAGTGGCACGGGATGGCCATCATTCTACGACCAGATAGCCAGCAACGTGAAGCAGGAGACGGACTGGTCCATCCCCTTCATGCCACGTGTGGAGGTGCTCTGTGCTGCCTGTAATGCACACCTTGGCCATGTCTTCCCCGACGGCCCTCCCCCCACCCGCCAACGATACTGCATCAACAGGTACAGGATCCAGTGCTCGTTTTACTCCTGGTGGCTGCCTCTGTTCCAATTCCACTCCTCACTGCTTCTTTTTTTGCACTCTAAGGGTTTTATTCTCTGCAAATATTTTAATTTCCACCCCCCACCCCCTCCCTCCCCACTTCCCCCTTTCCCCTCTGCTCCCCTTCTGCTTGCCTAAACTTATGCCGCCACCTGATGCTGTGCAGTGCATCGCTTCGTTTGGATACCAGCGCGTAGAGTGCCACTTTGAGGATATAACCAGGCATGGTGTGCCATACCAATGCTGGCTTTCTTAGTAGCTCTTGATATGCCGTCAGTTTTTGTCTCTTGAGATGTGATGTGAATGACAACAATACTGTGCAAACCGTATTTGCCCTCAGATGCAAGAAAAAATGTCGTCTCTCCCTGTATTATTGCATGCAATCGGAATTCAGCCCTATTTGATGCCTAACCGTGCAATTTCTCACCGGACGAAACTAATCACAAGTAATGTAACATCATCTCTCACCATCTCAACTAGTTTGTCTATATGAGAAATTACATTCGTATTTTTTTCTGGATGTTGAAGAATGAATGTTGTGTATGTTGAGTTGTTATGTTGAGGATGGTACTCTCGCACTCATCATTCTGAACCTTGTGTCAGAACCAATCTATTTGGTCAAATCAGCGACGTGTTACGGGAGCTGATCCGGCGATCTATTTCTCCAATCTCGCCCAATCAGCTGTACGCATTCGCTATTTGCCGATCGCTGTCAGGGAGAAAATGGAGCGCAGCCATGGCAACCGTAAATCTCAACCGCAGCCGCCTGCCTTGGGTTCTCTATCGACGGCTATTATTTGCCTTCCAAACTGGCGCCTTCACGACGCACCTTCAGATGACATGGCATTCAAAGGTCCCTACTTGACGAACTCAAACGTTCGCCTAGGAAATCCCGCAACTCCCGCCTTCGGCAACGGAAACCTTGCTGAAAAATGTCAGTGTCGTTCGACCCGCGTAGCCGCTTAGATGACGAAGCGACACGCGAACTGAAAACAGTCGGCAATTTTTCGTTTTCCTTCCCTGACCGGCAGCTTCGCCTGCCACGTGGACGATTTCTGACCAGCCAAGAAGTGGACTCTCCAATCTCCCTGTCGTGGGCAAAACTTGAACCTGACCGAACCGACCATTCGCAGCTGCTCGTCGTGATCCAACACAACCTGTTAGCCTGTAATCCAATCAGCATTGAGGGTTATTCTTCACCGCTAGTTGCATAGTTCGCCTAAGCAAAAGTCGAATTTACAAACAACGGCTGCGATCTAAGCCTGAGTGATTCTGGACGGTAGATCTCGTGTGGTGAGAACCAAAGAGCGTTGGGATGTGAGGGAAGGCGAGGCATTCCGCAACCCCTCCCGCCTCATTCCAACGTCATTCTCGCCTGAGCCTCGCGTTTCACTGCGGTTTCGCCTCTTGCTCCCATTTTTTCACGCCCAGCTTCTTCTATCACATACATTATCGTTTCCTAGAGCTCAGCTTCCATTGCTTCACCTTCTAGAGCTCAACGTTTAGAGCTAACGATTCTCAACATGTAGAGCTCTGGCTTACGTTTACTGATGCGATTTTTCAAGATTAGAAGCCTTTGGTCTGCGTCTGGCTGTAGGCGCCTCATTAACGGGAAAATGGGAGCGGGGAAGTCGCGTCATCTAGCGTGGAAACTCGGCATGTTTTGCGCAGGTAACTGAGCGCATCTTCTATCTTTTCACGCAGCGAGTTTCATTATCCGGTGTGAATCGCGAAGCTAAAATACGAAATTGACATGCGATGCTTTCTGACGTGACGTCCATCCTCTGCACGTGCCAGGTTCGACGTGGACGCGACATCTCACTTCAATCTGGCTGTTCGCGATTTCGTAGTTGGTAGTTCTTCTTGTTGCGACGGCATGACGATCTCTACTCAGGTACTTGTGAACACGTCCGTTTATTTTATTCGCGCATCCAGTTTCATTGTCTAGCGTACTTCGATTCTCCAGAACTATCATTCGAAACTGACGTGCAGTATTCTCTGACATGCTTGGCATGTGGCAGGTTCGTTGTGGTGGTGAGGCGACATTTCACCGATCTGGCTGTACGCGATTTTGGAGAGCCATGGATTAGAGAGCTCGACTGTACTATTTTGGCTGGACGAACTCGGATCGACGCTCGTCCTTTGTCGTGCATCTTAGGTATTGTCGCGAGCCACACCCATCAATTTCGCGTTTTCATCAATTTCGCGTTGTCATCAATTTCGCGTTTCACCAGTGTCGCAATGTCTGCAAATCGTCTTTGCGGATCCATCTCGCGTTACTGTTCCGTGTTTCGAATCCGTGACTCATCTGCGCGCATCAAATTCCCAAATTCATTTCGCAGGTCAATTTCGTGCCACAGTGCCATTCGCGAGCAACTTATATGAAGCTCGCGCATCAAGGGTGGCTAATCCCATCCTCAGCAGATCGTCGGCTTCAGCTAAGTACCTCAGCTATGTACCTTCCCCTCCCTAAACCTACGTCATGCTTGCTCACCTGCGCTTCCGTTGTTTCTCCTTCAAAATCTCGCCACTGGTTGGGGCCCGTTTCACAAGCCACGGACCTTGTACTGCAGGTATCCCCCTCAGGTTCACCCCCTCAGGTTAAGCCCCCCTCAGGTGCACCCTTATGGTTGGGCAGGTTCCTCTTGAGGTCTGTGGATTGTGCTCGCTGTGTCCCAACTGGTGGCTCCTCTCTCCCCGTGCTGCGTGAATCCTCTCACCTGCCATTCGCCCTTCCTCTCCTCCCTCCATGCTCTCTCACCAGTGCTGCTCGTGTGCACTGCGACGCAGTTGGAGAGGGCGGGCGTGGGGGTCACCACCGTTCCCTCACGCGCCTTGCTGTTACTCACCTTGCTCTCTCCTCCTTTCCTCCGCGCTGCTCTCCTGTGCAGGTCACTCGGCTTCAAGGAGTAGGGCTGGTAGACGGGGGGCAGCAAGCAAGCAAGCAAGCACCTCAGGCAGCATCTCCGTCGCCCCCATGTGTCAAGCACCTGGCAGCAGCACAAGGCAACCACATCGTCAGATAAGTGCTTGCTTCTTAGTGCACCCATGCTCGCATCCCACATCATGCCCCTTTCCGCTTCTCCCTCCTGTGTTCATCAAATCGAGGCCACTGCTGGCAGCACACGGTACAGCACACACGCCTTTCTTACTGCAGGTTTATTTTTCAGGTAAGTTTCCCCTCAGGTAAGTCTCGTGGGTGTGTGACTTTGTGACGGTTGCTCCACCAATGGCTTTCCTTCGGCTCTTCCTCCATCTCACCTCGCATGCATGTATTCCCTTCCCTGCTGCTGCCTCCCGCTCCCATCACTTCCCGTTGATGCTCCTCCCCTCCTCCCCTGCTGCCCCCTCCCCTTACCTTCCACCCCCATCACCGTACCTCCCGCCCCTCCCTCCCCCTACAGCCCTGCTCTGAGCAGCGCACGAGCGGAGCTGCAGTGGGTGGGACACGCCATGCCATGCCTGCTGCCTGTGCTCCTTCAACTGCCCACGCTGCTTCAACTGCCTGCTGCTCTCACGCCATCAGCTAAGTGTCTCTTCCTCCCATATCTTCTATTGTTTTCTTTTGCTACCGTTTTGTTTGTTGTTTGTGCTTCCGCCATTCTTCTTGAAACAGTGCCACTGGTTGGGCCGGCTCACATGCCACAGACCCCCTTAGAGCAGGTAACCCCCTCAGGTGCAGGTAACCCCCTCAGGTGCAGGTAAACCCCTCAGGTGCAGGTACGCTCTTCAGGTTCCCTTGGGGTCTGTGACTTGTGTCCGTGCTTCCACCAGTGGCCCCTCTTCTTCCTGATTTGGCAGCTTTTGTGTTTCCCTTGTGCTTCTGGCCATTCCATGCACGCTCACTGCAGCTGTGTGTGTGCCTTGCGGGTGGAGGGGAGGGGCGTGGGGTCAACACCGCCGCTCCCTCGCGCCTCTCCCCTGTGGCCATGCAGGTACACACACGGGACGCTGGGAGGAGGGCTGCTGGGGAGGAGTCACCTGGTGGTGCTTCAGCTGCCTTCTGCTCGCTCTCACATGACCAGCTAAGTGCCCCTTCCTCCGCACCCTCACCCTTGCCTGCCACGTCATATCGTCTTGTCCTTTTCTGTCAGTTTGTTGGTTGCTTGTGCTTTCGCCTTTCTCCTTGAATCAGTGCCACTGGTAGGGCCCGGCTCACATGCCACAGACCCTCTTACATCAGGTTTGACCCTCATATCCAGGTAACCCCTTCAGGTGCAGGTATCCCTCTCAGTAACTGCAGGTCCCCTTGGGGTCTGTGGCGTGTGACTGTGCCTCACCAGTGGCGCCTCCTTTCCTCCTCCACGCATGGCAGTGTCTCTTCTATCGCCCATGCCTGCGCCCATTCCAGGCACTTTCACTCACCACTGCTGTGTTTGTGCCTCGCATGTGGAGGGGAGGGGCGTGGGGTCAACACCGACGCTCCCTCATGGCCCTCCCCTGTGGCCGTGCAGGTGCTCGTGGGGACGGGAGGGAGGCAGCACTGCAGCAGACTGGAATCGCCTCGAGGGAGAGGATGGGGATGGGCGTGGCCTCTCAAGGTGAGACCCTTGCCTGCTCTTCCCCGCTGCATTTGCTTTCTGCTTTCGACTCTCTGGATGCTCCTCCCTCACACTGCCCTCTCCAATTTCATCCTCTTCCCTCTCTTTCGCACTTTGCCTTCTTCTAAACTTCCCCTTCCCATGCCGCCACTCACTCGCCTCTTCACTCACCTCCTGGCCTACTCCCTTCTGCCCCCTTTCAGGTCACCCGGCATGACATCACCACTTGCTGCAGCAGAAGCAGCGGGTTGCGCAGGAGCAGGAGGGGAGGGGAGGGGAGGGGAGGGGATACAAGACAGCAGGCCCTGCCGCTTCGTCAACTGCCAGCTAAGTGCCCTCACGTCCCTCCAACTCACCTTGCTTGGCGCTCACTGGTCATTTCGCATGTCCTTGTGTTGTTTGTTTGTCCCTCAAAAGCTCGCCACTGGTTGGGTCCCTGTCCACAAGCCACAGACCTCTCCTTAGGCCTTACAGCCCCCTCAGGTACTCCCCCTACTGCAGGTTCATTCCCTCAGGTTCCCTCTAAGTCTGTGGCTTGTCGCTGTGTCCCCACTGGTGGCCCCTCCCCTCCCTCGCTTGCCTGGGTTTGAATTCACAGGTGCTAGTCTAGCTTGCTCGCATGATTGCCCACTGACTAGCTCTGCTTGTGTGCATGG